TAACGCCTTACGATTTCTTAATAGAAATTGATGGAAAGGCTTAGTATAGTGAGGTTCAGTCAAATGCGGATGCGGAATAAACCATTTCCGATAAAAGATAAGAGTCGAACGCTGACGATTTGACGTAAACTACTATATGTTACTTAAGAAAGCGAAGGAATCACTAAAATATTTATTAATTTCAATTGCGAGTGACTGAATTCGTTTTTCTTTACCGTTATGAACATATCTTCGTTCCACCGTATGTCATCATCAATCGCTCTATTGCAGTCTCTGCATCAGCCCTAGTTGTTTTGTGTGTTAATAACCGCGAGACTATTTTATTGCTATCCCAGTGTACGCTAAGCCCAAGTTTACTGGGAGGACAGCTTTAGCTGGCTGAACAGTCGAACTAATGTTATTACAGCTGCCAAGGGACCCACCACCCCGCCCGACTTATATCGCTAATGTCCTTGACTCCATAGTCCGCAGCTTTTGGCTAAATGAAAACGAAGGTGTTTGCAATCCTGGTGACTGGCGGTCTTCGCAAAGTCGGCTGAAGAATCGATGTGTTTTACAATTATCATAAGGACTTATGAAGAAACAATTTTTCATTGATGTTCGAACTGTCGCTCACGGCACACACAGCAGTCTTCTCCGCCTTCTCCTTCCATTCCACTTTCCTGTATTTCCTCGAGAAAATGTACATACGCGGCATGCGTTCACCAGATGCACTAACACAGGCCATTACGCTAGTGTTCTCGCGGTCACGGGATCGCTAGATATTCGCCCTTAATCCTTTTGGGCAAATAATTCGTTCTCCGCCATGTCCTTGAGGGCATATACCTGTCTCGTTGCAATTCCAGATGCCCTCAGGTTTGTCGGCCAGGTTAAACTTTAGAAGGACAGCCTTGAGGCTGTTGAAATAGTGCAATACATTATCTAGAGTTGAAGCCTCTGCTCGCTTTACATCCAATAACTGTGATCGCCGAGTAGAAAGCTGCTAACCAGCGTGTTACGTAGGTGTCATTGGGGAAATCGTCTGGAAGGGGGCGGGTTCCAGCTATCACGGCGGCTTCATGGATCATGAGCGCAATTCATCGTATCCTACGCACATCCTATGCAGTGCTCGGTACTCGATTATCTTGACAAGCCCTCTGTCTCCGCCATCTGAGATGTACCGGAGCTGTGGGCTTGTACGATCCTGAATAGGCACGAGTCCAAGAATACGCAATTGAAGGGGCTCGCGGGACACTTTGTAGACTTTAGACGCAACACGAATGTTCATACCGCCTCTAACTGCTGTCATCGCTGATATCCACGTATCGAGAGGGACATCCTTCATCGCTCCCCTTGGGGGGAAATAGTGAGCGTTTTGTGCGAGGACAATATTCGCGCAGGCAGCGAACATCGCAGAGCTTACTTAATTTTCGTTTTTGACTTAATTTTTGTATGTGGGGCAGGTGACCCGAAATATGGCGGGCACGGATACGTGACAGCATCGGCAACGCTCCCCTATCGATGTGGTGGTGACACGAGGGAGAACGCTCGCTCAACTGTATCTTACTGGGACGCTCACTGTGGGTAATATGCGGTATTTTATTATTTGTAAGGCCTTACTGAATAAAACACAGCGCCTAAAAGATCTTGAGCAAGTCTATGATGATCGCCTTCAACGCCGTTCTATCGGGGTTATCAATACAAAACCCCGTGATGATGATATTTATGATAACACGAACAATTGATATGTGTCGATCGTGATGATCAACACATATCATTTGTTCGTGTTATCATAAATGTCAGAGCTCCTCTGCGCGCGAGGTCTTGGCACTGGAAAGACTGGCCGTCCTCCCAGACCAAAAGGTCGCCTCTAGTGTTGAGTTTCAGCATAACTATTAATTATAGGTTATAGAGTTAGCGATTCCTATCTGCGCCAAATGAATTTCACGTGTTAGCCCTACGGAGGGTATGCCACCACTAATGACTAGAGCAATACCATAAAACCTTGAAGTTTATTAACAACTCCTTCACCTGTCGAGCTACAATAGCGTTTGGATAGATCAAGAACAGCTTTTGCTGCAAAAAAACATTACCTCTAACAGTGTCGCTCACGTTATAACTCGCTTACTATAATATCGAATGACAAAATGTGGAGCTACATCTGCAAAAAGTATGCTTCCTATTGGTGATTTGCGATCGGTACGTCTAATCTCAGTGTCTTGTTTTTGGAACTACAATCAATCGACGGACGGAGATATTCGATAGACAAAATACGAAAAACACCCTAAGAATTGGTGCTCAGCACCAACGATTGTTCGGTGCCACCTAGATTTGGTGGGAGGGGAGACTGGGCGCGTCGGAAACCACTCCAGATGTGTCCACCACTCCCGATATGTGGGCCACACCAGATGCGTGCACCACACCTTTTGCCATTTTGGAAATCCTGCCCCCTCAGGCGCCACCGGCACAAGTCGCGCGGAGGACGTTCTCGCGGCTGTCCTGAAGGACACAGACCACTCCCACGAGCAGCAAGCGCGTCATTCGCTGCCTTACATCCAGAGCTCGCCGCTCCACCGCCTCCAGCTGAACAGTTCCTGTTTCCTGAAGGGATATGAACCCGAAAGGGCGGCCAGAATTCTCGCTATTATAATAGGAGAAACCCGTAAGTGAGCGACGCACGGACAGCAACACACGCCGCGTTGGGTTGATGATCGCG